TCACAACCTCGCTAGCATTTGTTGTTTGCTGCTCTGATGAGCTTTGGTATTATTATTGGGGTAAGATGATATATCATGGTTATTTTTATTTGCATCTTTCTGATAGCTACAGATTTTGAACATTTCTTCATTTGTTTACTTGACATTTAATGTCTTCTTTGGTAAAGTATCTACTTATATCCTGTTCCCATTTTGTGTTTGGGTTGTTTACCTTTTTCTTGTTGAAGCTCTGGACAATTCTATATATTTTAGATATGGGTTCCTTATCAGATATGTCATCACTAAATTTTTTTATATGCAAAGGGATTTGATTCTTTGAAGGTTCCATTCATCTCTTTTATTCTCATCTATTCACAGCTAGCATTTTGTTGTTCTTGCTGTGGGTACTTTCTCCCCTTATCCTTTTCATCTTCTTTTTATTTTGTAAGTGTTGAGTGTTACTTTGTTTTTTGCAGTGCAACCTGTATTATACCCCTCCCCCCAAAGAAAAGACCAAAATGGGACTCCAGTACAGGCAGTAGAGAACAGAGATAACATACCTATGGTAACCTTGTACCCCGAGTTTAAAAAGAAAAGACAAGGAAGTACTTCAAACACTTACTAAGGGAATAATCAGAAGTAAACACAGAAGAAGGAGACAGAGCACAGCACCCATAAGTGGCACTGTGTGGCCACTTTGAACAATGGTCACTGTGTTGTGAGAACCCTGGTTGGCAGCAGTATCCACATTAGCATGCAGCTAACAATGCAATACCTGCAGTCTCCCCCCTTGTCCTCCTTGTCTCCTGGAGATTGGGGTAGTGACCCACCAGGAAGCTGCCGTGGTCTTGTCCAGCAGATTTCAGCTGGCTGAGGTGAGGCCAGTACTATTTTTGTGTGAACGGCTTTACCTTCAAAGTCTCCCTCTTGGCAGATTGTGGCATGGTGGGCTGCCAGCCATCCCTGGGATTAGCAGGGGTACCACCTTTTTTTTAAAAAAACACAACAACTGGTTTATTTATAAAATTTAAATACATCGGTTTTTTTAATACCAGATCTTGATTAACCACACCCCTCCCCCCAGCCGATCCTCATCCCTCTGTTTCCACCCTTCCACACCTTGGATCCTCATACTCATTCGGCAATAATGGTTGTATACAGTATTTGTCCTTATGGGCCTGAGTTAGTTCACTTATCATAAAATCTCTAGTCTCTCGTAATTTACAAAATTATTTCTCCTGAGTGCTGCATAGTATTCTGGCGTGTGAATATACCATACTTTCTCAATCCATTTCCTAGTGGTTGGACATTTGGGCTGTTTCCATGTTCTTGCGATGGTGAATAACACTGCTATGAACATTGGTGTACAAGTCTTCATTTGTGCCTCAGTTTTCATTCTCTTGGGCTATATTCCAAGCAGTGAAATAGCTGGCTCATGTGGAATTTCTATGTTCAGCTTTCTGAGGTAAATCACTACTTAATTTGGGAGGGACTGGAGAGCATTATACTAAGTGAACTAAGCCCCATAAAAACAAATACTGTATAAGACCATTATTGTAGAAATAGATAAGTAGTAAAATGTGTATGAGGATCTAAGCAGGGGAGGGTGGGAGCAGGGAGTGAGTGAGGATGGTAGAAAGTGTTGGTAATCATAGGGTAGCACACTTTAATGGGTGGAGGCAGGGGTAAGTTAAGGAAATGAGAAAGATCCGGTGTGAAAAACAATGTAATGAACTTTGTAAGTAAACCAATATAAAATAAAATCTAAAAAGAAAAACCCCAAACACAACACTTTGTAAGTACAAATAGACAAAATAAATGGAAAGCTACAGCAATATAAAAACGGAATATTGAAATTCAGATTATTCAGACTAAAATGGCAGAAATAGGTAATACTTTGGAAGGACAAAAAAGCAGAATTGATGAAATGGAACACAGAATTAGTGAACTGGAGAACAAATCCTTCATTGCTTAATCCGTTAGAAGAACAATCAAAACAAAAAAGGAAAGAAAATGAGGAAAGTGTGAGAAATATATGGGACAGCATCAAGATGAATAATTTATGGGTAATTGCAACTCCAGAACAGGAGTAGATGAAAACCAAAAAAAGAAGAGCTGAATTAAAAAATAAAGTTGCTTCTTAAAAATTTCCCAAACACTATGAAATAAGAGAAGGTCACTGTTTGGAATCACTAAGCATTCAAGAAGCAGAGTGAGTTCAAATGAGATAGACCCCAAAAGAAAATCATTAAGGCATATCATCACGGATTTTTCAAAATTAAAGACAAAGAATACTTAGGGGAAACAAAGAGTCACCTACAAAGCAGAACCAATAAAACTACCTTTGATTACACAGCAGAAACAATGCAGGCAAGAAAAGAGCATGATGACATATATAAAACTCTAAAAGAAAGAAAAAAAGATCCTGTACTGAGCAAAATTGTTCACCGAATAAAAATGTGAAATTAGGACCTTTTCAGATAAACAGAAACCAATGGAATTAATGAAAGCTAGACTGCTGTATGAGTCATCTACGACTCGATGACACTTAACAACAACAACAACAACAGACTAACCCTACAATAAATTCCACTGGGAGCTCTACACACTGAGAGCCAACCATGACAAACAAGCAAAAATCAACATATGTAATGACCTCAGTCAGAAACTGACTCAAACACAGACATACACAAAGTACATTAAACATATGACACTAAAAATAGGGAAGTCAGGTGGTCTAGTGTTTAAGGAATTGTGCTGCCAATGCAAAGACAAACAGTTTGAATTCACCATTGATTCCAAGCCAGAAAGATGTGCAATCTCCTCCCATGTTATCTAAAATCTCTGAAAAGGCACAAGAGTCACCTACAAAGCAGAACCAATAAAACTACCTTTGATTTCTATTCTGTGGTAATGAGTAAAGCATACAGTTTATGGTAATGAATGACAGGCATCAAAAAGACAAAGAGAACAAATATAATGCAAAAAGATGGAATAAGAAATAGAGTCACAGAACTTCTAAATGGGGAGGAAGTCAAGGAGATTTCAAGATAAAGTGAACTGTTTAAAATGTGGGGATAAAACAAACTTAAAATGTAACCTCCAAGAAAATGAATAACCCCTCTTGTCAAAATAAAAAGAAAAAGACTATACAGACTCGGTAAACACTAAAACAAGAAATAAAAATGTAAGAAAAGTCATGACTAAAGCTAATTCAGCATAGAAAAGGAGACAAATCAGCAATGCCACTTGTGCTATCAAGTAAGAACAGACTCATAGCTGACCATCCAGTGAGTTTTCAGAGGCTGTAAACTGCACAAGCAAGTATTCACCTTACTCCCAAGGAGCAGCTGGTGGATTCAAACTGCCTGCCATTGGGATGGCAGCATAACACCTTACCGTAAACCCCCAGAGCTCCCCAGCAATCCTATTGTAGTGGTGGTGTTACATTGTTGCTGTGTGCCAGCAAGTCAGAACAGACACATGGATGACCTTCCAGAGGGTTTTCAGAGGCATTATGTGATATGTTAGAAGGTTACCCATCATTCTCCTCCAGAGCCGCTGCGTGGATTTGAACCAAATCCACCTTTGGGATTGCAGGGCTGCTTATTACCACTAGGCCATAAGGGCTCCAGCAATCCTACTAGTAGGTAGTAGGTATATATTTCACAGAAATAAGAGCTGTAACACAAACGGATACACTCACATTTATGTTTACTGTATCATTATTTACATAGCAAAGAATTGGACACAATTAAAAAAATCCACCAACAAACTAATGGCTAAAGAAATGAGTAAATTCATTCAATGGAATATTGACAATACTAAACAAGTGATCAAGAACTTCTTAAATACTTCATAACATGGATAAATTAAGACAAAATTATGCTGAGCGGCAAAGTCAGTCACAAAAGGCTAATCGTGGCATAAGACTACTAATATAAAAAGCAAAGGAGAAGTTTACACACAGAGTCAATCTTGGGAGATTAACAAGGCTAAGAAGGGAAGGAATAGGGTTTAAAATTAATAAGTTGGTTAAGAGAAAAGGAATGTTTATAAGAGTCTGATGAGACACTGTAAAATCCGGGTGCTGGTCTGTACGAGGAGGAATGTGGCATCAGGATTGATGGAAGAGTCATCAACAACCTGTGTTATGCAGATGACACAACCCTGCTTGCTGAAAATGAGGAGGACCTGAAGTGCTTGCTGCAGAGAGTCAAAGACTGCAGCCTTCAATGTGGATTGAAGCTTAACATCAAGAAAACAAAGATTCTCATCACTGGGTCAATTGGCAGCATCAGTATGGATGGTGAAGAGATTGAGATAGTTAATAGTTTTAGTTTGCTTGGCTCCACTGTCAACACTCTTGGTTCCAGAAGCCAGGAAATCAAGAGACGAATTGCACTGGGAAAGTCAGCTGTCAGGGGCCTCTCTAGAGTACTGAAGGGCAATGTCAGTTTGGAGACTAAGATGCGTCTGATGCGAGCTATAGTCTTTGCAGTTGTGTGCTATTCATCGGAGAGCTGGACAATGACTAGGGATGATAGGAAGATAATTGATGTCTTTGAGCTCTGGTGCTGGAGAAGAGTGTTAAACATACCATGACTGCTAAGAGGACAAAGATCTTTGTCCTGGAGAGGATGAAGCCGGACTGCTCCTTGGAGGCAAGGGTTCTGAACCTTCATCTGACCTACTCTGGGCATGTTGCAAGGAGGGATCAGTCCTTGGAGAGGGACATAATGTTTTGGAAAGTGGAGGGACGGCACAGGAGAGGAAGACCCTTGATGAGATGGATTGATTCAGTAACTAGGGTAATGGGAGTGGGTATGTTGGAGACAATGAGATCGGCACAGGATAGAGCAGGGTTTAGAGCTCTTGTACATAGGGTCGCTATGAGTCGCAGGCGACTCAATGGTACATAACAAAATAACATAACAAAATGTGTATGGATGAATTAAAACTAATATTAATTGTAAACTTTCATTAAAAATTAGTTATAAAAATAAAAAGATAAAACTTACACTCCTGTGACAGTAGCCATTACAAAATTCCATAAGATAATCACACCATTTAAGGTTCCAGCAGCTAGCAAATTATACCCTTCTAGCTGTAATAGATCAATGCAGTTCACTTCTGTTCTGACGGTAGAATTCTAGAGACAAAGAAACAGATTTATTTCCATAATCACAGTACAAATGAAAGATGCACACTCAAGTATACCATTAATTAAAAACAGAGTATTTTGCCATTTTTTAAAAAAATAGAGTTAATGTTAATGGCATGAATGATATAAAACCTTAAGGATCTTCATTTACTGGTTGTTGCTGTTGTTGTTGTTATGTGCCGTCGAGTCGCCTGCGACTCATAGCGACCCTATGTACAACAGCCCTAAACTCCGCTCTGTCCTGTGCCAATTGCACTGTCTCTGACTCTCCCATCCCAATTATCCCAGTCACTGAATCAATCCACCTCATAGAGGGCCTTCCTCTCCTGCGCTGTCCCTCCACCCTCCCAAGCATGATGTCCTTCTCCAAGGACCTGTCTGTCCTCACAACATGTCCAAAGTATGTTAGATGGAGCCTCAGAATCCTTGCCTCCAAGGAGCCACCCGGTTTAACCCTTTCCAGGACAAATCTGTTTGTTTTCCTAGCCGTCCATGGTATTCTCAATACTCTTCTCCAGCACCACAGCTCAAAGACATCAATTCTCCTTCTATCCTCCTTGGTCATTGTCCAACTCTCTGATGCATAACAAGTGATTGCAAAAACCATGGCCTGTATCAGACGCACCTTAGTCTCCAAAGAGATACCATTGCTCTTCAGCACTTTGGAGAAATGTTGTCATATGTCACTGAGTTGGAACTGATTCCTAGCTGACCCACCAGTGGGTTGTCTGAGGCGGTAAATCACATGGGAAGAGACTGCCCATTTTCCTTCCTCACCACCAGCAGCTCGTGGATTAGAACCTTTGGATTAGCAGTTCAACTCCTTACCACTAGGCCACCAGAGCTCCATAAAATGAGTAATAAGCAACTACAAAATAACCTTTAGAAATCAGAATGTGGAATCAAGGAAAATTAGAAGTTATAAAAAATGAAATTGCTTGCCTGAAGATTCACATTCTAGACAGTGGATAGTAAAAAATGGATTGTTATTGGACATTTTTAATTTGACAGTGATGATCTACTATGCTAGGAACAATAGCTGAATAAAGCATGACACTGGATCAATTGTTCAAAAGAATGTTTTGTGATCTATCCTGAAATATAATGCTGTCAATGACAAATTAATATCTATTCTTTCAGAAAGAAGATGAATTCATATAGCTATTATTCAAACTTATACACCAATGATAAATGTCACAAATGTAGAAATGGAATATTTTCACAATGCACATAATTTATAGTGATTGGAAAGTGACTCTGTATAATACAAATACAGGAGATGATTAAGCATCTAACTATTTTTATAGATGAAAACATAAAAGACTAGTAGACTTCCAGTGGGGTCTGAAAACATTTATAGTTATTTTCAAGCGGTAATGCTTGACAACCAGAAACCTCATCTACACCCAGGTACCAGGAGTTAGCACTGCCATGGCTAAAAAGATCATATGAAATCATATGATATGAAATCAGTTAAGAAATTAAAATTTTTTTAAAAAACCACACAAAAAAATCTTTGCAACTAATAGACTAAGAGTCCTCACCACAGATGTAAGGAGGTCTGTTGAAATGTTAACCAAATATCAGTGCTTTGAATCTACCAGCTATTCTCAGGGAGAAAGATGAGCTTTCTTCTCATTTCTTTATCTCCTCATCAAAGAAAGATGACAGGTCTAGGAACTGAGTGGAGGACTGCTACAGGTTGGAATAAATTCAGCAGTGCTGGGCTTAAGGTGCTTGTTCACCCCCTCCATGGTAATCATACATGCACAAACAACCCAAATGCCTACTAACAGAGGACTAACTAGACACACTACAACACATTCATAAAAGGGGAATATTACAGTGTTCAAAAAGAAAAGTGAAGTTTACATCCACTACTCATAAATTGCCCTTCTGAATGAGATCAATCCATTTTAGCATCAAGAAAATATTAAAAGTAAAATTTTAAACTTTTCCATATTAAAAAGTGAACTTAAAAAACATGACATTTAACTTACACAAGTAAATGGAGATAATTTTCTCTCAATCAGGAATTCCACATCTGGGAAAGGAATACGTGCACTCTTTGGTCTGGTGGACAACCGTAGAGGCACAACATGATTCCCATCTTGTAGGAAAGGCACAGGATCAGGCAGCTCCCACATCACTAGGAGGTAAATATCTTCTTCCTTGCCCTGTAAGAGATATCCAGAGAGTACGCAGAAAAGGAATCATTCTGTTGTGAGCTGTCTTTACAGAGAAAATCAGAATGTACATTCACATATATGATGTACCATCTTCCGCACAGCTTTGTTAAACCTTTTTTGTTGTAGTTATTTGCCATTCAGGGAGCTCTGATAGTCTAGTGGTAAGGAGCTGTGCTGCCAGCAAAAAGGTACATAGTTTGAATCCACCAGCTGCTCTGTGGTAGAAAGGTCTCCTCCTGTAGGGGTGAAGCTAACCAAGGCAGAAGCTGCCTGGGTCATGACAAAATAAACACTGGGATGCTCAAGACCTTGATTCTCATGCTAAAGCCGCCTTTTGACAAAAATGTAGTTATGGAAAACAAGGAAGGTCAGCAAGTAAGAAAAGAAATAGTAAAAAGCATCTTGGACTCCAGTTAAAGTATTTTACTGTTTATGTAATAAAAATACTGTCAACTAAACTATGAGAACTATAGGTTGTGAGAACCCTCTCCCCTTACCTCTTGACTAAGAAAAGTCTCGAGTAGTTCATTTCAATCACCTGGCACTTTCCTGCTGGTCAAAGTGTGACATATGGTGACCGCAACATGATACGGGAACAACATATGATGACCACGATGTGACAGGGGAAGAACAATAGTTGGAACCACGTGGAATGAGAAGTGAAAATGTCCAGGCTACTTAATCTCCTTAGTAGACAATACCAACGAGCACCTCTACATGTAGGTATTTATTCATAAGGGGATTTCTGTCGATGGGGCAAGAGCTGAAGGCTGCCTCATCATGTGTTTTATTGTGCCATCTCATCTTTGACTTTTAGATGGTGTTTGTCCCTCCCCTGGAACTTCAGTCTGAGATCCCGAGGTTCCCCCATATAAAGTTCTCTTGCTGTTAGTGTTACCACTTTCTGAGTGGTAACGTACTCTTTTACTTTCTTTTTTTCACTGCTGCTGCAAACTATCTTACTATCTTGTCTGTGTGTGAGGGCTCATTGTTAGTTTTTTAGATCTGACCCTACTAAATTCAGTGGCTACCTATACAAGTAGCTCCTTAATGCTAGCATTAATTGGCATAGCCCAGCAGGATCTAAAAGCCTTTCTTTCAGAGGTTGGAAGTGAAGCGTGTTGCTTGTGACACTCTTTGGTGGAAGGATCTGCCTTATTTATAGTAACTCCAGGATTCAACATGAATACTAAGGATCACTACTGCCATGGGGGTCCCAATGACAAAGCCTGATAAGTAATAACAGGAAAGGCTATTAGAAGACCATTAGAAGGCATAGTGTCCAGGCTATCCCAAGGCAGGGCATACTGTTGCCCTCCTTCAAAGTCAGCGACAAGACTAAAACAAGACTCCTACACTTAGCAATAGCAGAGTCCAGCTGATGAGTCTATAGAATTGTATTGCCCGCATGGATGGGAAATCAGCATCCCTCATCCTATTAACTGGACCCCAAGTTGCTGTTAATGTGTGAGGTAATGTAAACAAGTTTTCACTTAATGCAAAAGTAGATTTCTAAAAGCTCACTGAATAAAACAAGCTTGGTAGCAAGAGTGGCATCCACTTCCAAACTAGCTTGCCTCCAGAAACCCTATGAACTTGGAGAAATGATAAAAGTTATACAAGTATTCAGGTTTTTGTTCATAGGGTTGCTATGAGTTGTCTATGACTTGATGGCACTTAACAACAATAACAACAACAATGAAAGAGCTCTGTTGGCCTAGTGGATAGAAAGTTATGATACTAAACCAAAGGTGGGTGATTTTAATCTGCAGCCCTCAGGCCTGGTTTTAATTGTTTTTGGTCAAAGATTCTTCTAAGCGGTATAGCACTAGTCTGTCCATTTACTGTACAGAGGTAATTCGGGGTTGCTGTGATGCTGAACACCGTGACACTGATGTGTCAAATGTGATAATGGTTACCCATGGTGGACAGTGTTCAGTGGAGCTTCCTGTTTAAAACAAGCTTGGAAGCAGGAGTGGCATCCAATTCCAAAATAGCTTACCTCTGAAAACTCTATCAACTTGTGGAAACGATGAAAGTTAAGCAAGTGTTCACGTCTTTTGTTCATAGGGTCACTATGAGTAGTCTATGATGGCACTTAACAACCACCAC